AATGTAGAAGATGATGAACGCCAAAGGAAAGTGGTGTGGAGGATGGCAAGCGCTTCTGGGTAATGAAAGAGGCAAAATGGCTTGTAATGGCTTGTAAAATCAAAAATGATAATACAGAGATTGAAGTTGAAAGGTTGAAGCCCGCGAAAACTGAAGGGCAGGGGCATTGTGGTAATTTCGAAGCAGACAGGACAGTTGAGAGACATTTTTTCAGAAGCAATCAATGCCAAGGCGGCAAGAAACGCACGGTGTCACACGTCATACCTATTGGAGGGGGGTACGTGGAAAAAATAATCATTAGGTGGAAGGGAAATTGTTTCTTATTCCAAAGCAATCATTAGACAGCAGTTAGTACAATCATTCCCTACTCTGCCGAAATAAACGACCGAGGTTCCTAGTTTAAGACGATCAGAGAACCAGGACCGCGACGGCGTAGCCCGGATTTGATAGGCGATAGATCATCCTGGGTGCGAATGTGCTCGGAGAAACCTGAGGAAGCTTTCTTCTCTTGAGCCGAATTAATAAGCCGAGTTAAAAAGCAAACCGGACAGATGGCCAACGTCCGGGTTAAAGCACTTACAACAATTGCCCTGACTTGGATATCCCGACAGCCTGAAGACTCAGTCTACCGGGCTGGGGGGGCAACTGTTATGGACCTGGGAAAGGCCCACGTCTACAAGCGGCCCAATCAACATAAGCCCAAAGGTAAGCTCTATAAATAGGAGCTAAAGACCACAGGTACGATTGATCTCTTGAACCCTATTTTATGCAATCACAACAGCGCACACACACACACCCCTTCAGGCTACGACCATCATATAGTGTGTAATGATTTGATGTTCCCAAGATACCTAATTCATAGGTATCTAGAGAGAAAGCCCTAGATCCAACATCAAAGACTCGACCTACTGTCGGACACATCTGCTTAGGACAGAACAGAAGAAAAAGAAGAAGCAGCTAATTTGTGAAATCAGAAAATATTTTCGCTACATTAGGTATACCGAACATTCGGTACAATTTTTTATTAAATATAAAAAAGTAACACATTTATATTATTTTTATATTTAGGGTTATTTTCTTTCATATTTGTTTTTACCATTTGGAAAAAGATAATACCTATATCCTGAGAACTCAAAATGTGCTCGTGAAAGTAAAAGTTTAAGTGTTCCATTACCTAAATTCGTTTTTTCACATTTAAAAACTTAATTTGTGCCATAGCAATGAAGACTGTAGTCAACAGCCTAAATTACCTCACCAAGGAAAAAAAAAACAGTTAGCACTACGAGAAGTTGTCTCTTCTGTCATTTCGTTTATACCACTATAGAACTCTCCAGTGAATTAATTTTGAGGGTAAATAAATATGCGGTCACAGTGAGTAACTAAATGCGTGAATTTTTTTTTTGGTAAACCTAAATGCGTGACTTTAAATCAATGTTATTAGAATCGGATCGGTTATTGACCCGGCCGAGGTACCGGGTTAATGGTTCAATCGGTGGGTCACTGGTTGAATCGCATGAACCGGATATATATATAAATTTATGTTTTATACTTAATTATATAATAAATATTTCAAATGGTGCAATTCAAACAATAACATGATGTAGTCTAGTGATAATTACTATGTTGTCTACCTTCAATGCACAGGATTCGATTCTCATTTGATGCAAATTTTGAAATAATTCTCTTAACTTAATAGTTATATAATATGTATATTACATGGTGCATTTCATTCAACAAATAATGATAGCTTAGTGGTACAAAGTGGCGTTCTTCCCTACAAAGGGCAGGGTTTGAATCTGACTTGGCACAAAAAATTGGAATATTTTGTAGATTATTTTGAAAAACCGGTTTAACGAAGAAATCGGTACCGGTTGAATCGCAGTTTATGACCGGGTCACTGGGTCAATACCGGGTCAAATGCTTAAACGGTCCAATACTAGAACCGAACCGGTTGATAGGCCGATTTTCGGGTCAACCGGTTGGACCGGCCGGACCGGTCCAGTTTTAATAACAATACTAAGGGAGGGAGGGGGGAGGAATCTTGATACAAGTTTTATGGACATAGTGATATATTGTGAATAAGAATGCACTAAATCCATTTTATGTTTTAACCTTTACAATTTCTTTTTTCTGTTAAAATTCTGATATGATAATGTTAGAAAAAAGTAAATAAGGTATGCATAAAAAAAGGTAGGCATAATATCTAATTTATATATGTGCATTCTCTTTCATAATAGAATTTATAAAATAATGGTAGAATAAAATTGCAGTGCTAAAATATTATACAAGGTAGTCTACAATTGTCTCCCTTGACCACTTTAAATATTCCATTTCGAAATAGAGGAATAGAAGAATGGTCCATGTGCTTCTTGGTTGACGATGAGAAAGCCAATGCATGAGGTTCTCTTGGGCCCAACACCGTTTATGTAATTTACAGCCAACTGCCCTAGGAATATAGGGACAACTCACTGCTTCCGATAGATGCACATGGTTTACCTAATTACCTTACTCTGTAGAGTTCTTTCGCATCTTCATGCTTTCCTCTCTCACATTTTCCTTTTCTGTTTTGAGCGGAAAAAAATTAGAATATTATGTGCCAGAAGCCTAGAGAACTGTGCAAATCTTTTCCATGGTTAGTTGTGTGAAAAAAAGGCTAAGGTTTGTACTAAAAAAAAGCTAAGGAACTAACTGTAAACAAAACACGAATTTGTTTTAGGAGTATAATTTCTGTCATTTTAAAGGTTGGAAGTTGTATTTTTTTAGTTTTTTACTATATGTATTTCTGACAGTATGTTATAACATGAAAAGTTATTTTGTTACACTTTTCACGTCAGCTGATGTGATTGAAGAGAGAAAAAAAATAACTTTTCATGTTATAACTATGTACTGCCAGGAGTACATAAAGTAAAAAAATTAAAGAACACAACTTATATCCGTTTAAAGCATAAATAATTTTCACTTCTTTTAAATATAGGTTCCCAACTTTTTATATTGCTGAAGAAAAAATTATGCAACTAATTACAATTATATATTAGGAGTAGTATATAATTATAATATTAAAGTTATTTTTTATCTCTATCATGTCAAATAGCTTTTAAAAAAATAACTTTTAAAATTATAATTATATATTAATCTCTAATATATAGTTGTAATTAGTTACTGCAAAAAAATTTCCAATGATTTGACCTTAAATATAACTAACGAATAAAATATAATATTTGTTAAAGAAAAAATTATTTTAAATATATCTTACAGCTAATCATAGGTTCTTATAAAAAAATAAAATTGTAACCTTTACTCTTTAAAAGTATTCAAATCCTTGGTACTCAATTGCTTACCGAAACAAATAAATTTTTAGTGCTACTGTTGTACCAAATATTCAGTGCATCTCACTAATGAAAATATTACATGTCAATTAAAATTTTCTTTTTTCTGCTAAAATTTTTCTCTCTCCTCTAATGTGTAATGTTCTTGTTGATAAGATGCATTTAATCTAAGTATAACAGTAATACGAAAGATTTATTCTACTGAAACAAGGGTCATCTCCTCTGCTATATTCTCCTACAGCTTCAACTGTCGTTTTCTTCGAGAAAAATTTGTTGGTTTGGAAGATACCTAATTGGCCGAATTAGAGAAGAAGAAAAACCAAGTCAGATATCAACCAAGGAGTTATAACGAGGTTTCCTTTGTGAAGATAAAGGTACTGAACTCAACGAGATAAAATACTTACAGAGACTCCAAAGGCAATAAATGTTAAGCAGGGAAATAGTACAGCAAAATTATAGTAAAGTAGGGATTTTTAGCTGCTAGGGAAAAATCAAATGATTAGAATATGAAATTAAAAGCAGGGAAAGTTTTAAAAATCTGCTTTCATCTTTATTATTATTTTATTTCTAATAATATACTTCAACGGGTGAATTAAGACTTTCATCATAATATCAAGTTTATAAACAAATTATTTTATTTTAAATTTTCAATGGGTACACTACAGCCTGTCAGCTACTAAAACTATGTAATCAACTCTAACAACATTGTGATTAAATAAAGAAATTGCACATTCAAATACATGATAAAGTAGGTAAATCACTCTAATGAATTCTTTTATAGATTTATCCTTAAATGCATATACAGAAATCCAAATTATAATAATAATATGAAAAGCTTGAGTAGGAGAGTTGGGACTTGGGAATTCCAAATAAATAAATAAAGGAAAGCAGAATGGGTAGCAATATAAGAGAAAAAGAGAACTTTTATTCCGACAGCATCATATCGGGTAATATTCTATAATCCAATAACACAGACTCAGTCCTGGCATCGTGTTTTTTAACGCATGCTCACTATCTCTTATTGCCCACTTTTTCTTTATATGAGCCTGAGGAGTTCTTTTCTAACCATTCCATTATTACATGCGTCCGAATTAGATTTTAAATAAATATTTGCTTTAAAGTGTGCGCTATGAATCTAGGAAGTCCCAACTCTCTTAAATCACTTTTGACTCATAAATTGGCATTTTATTTTATTACACAGTTTCCAATTAATGGAAACATCTTGTCAGGTGTATTTGGCCAAATTCATTTTTGCCAACAAACCAAATCATTCCAGCACGAAATCAGTGCTCCATCAAAGTAAACAGGAAAAACGTCAAACGAGAAAATGCTGTATTCATTTAATTTTTTCCATAACACAGTATATGTCTTGATTTCTGGTTAAGAAAGTCCCAAATCACAATTTATACAAAAGTTTATCTTCTATAATTTTTTTGCCCAAATTATAATTTAAAAATTCTATAGGAAACACCAAACACATACTAATGTATGTGTATCATGTATGAGCTCTTAGCAAGTTGAACCCCTCAAGAGTCTCAACCAAACAAGAGACAAAAGAGAAAAATAAAATGTCAGCAAAAATGATGTATACGCCTCATACAAGAAGAGTACAAATATCATAATTCCTAGACAAACATAAGCGAAGAGCTGTCCAAAACAACAAGTGTGACACCAAAAAAACCAAACTGAAATATGAAATATGAGTAATTGAGCAACAATTTTCAAAGGGGTCCAAAAGGGAACTCGGTGAAAAGGAATCCGGCATCATAGGTGTAGCAGAGAAATCTTAAAACAAACTAGAGACTAACAATGAAAAAGGAAACATTTTGTCTCTTTCTAAGAAATAAAACCGGATTCTTGTTCCCCGGATAACCCATTGTGTATCCTCCAAGTGAAGAAAATTACAAAGTTAATTCATCCCAACAACTCCTCCTGTCCTTCTGAGGGACATCTTATAAGTTCCAGAATGTTAACAACCTCTCCCATGTCAGGGCGATTAGAAGGCACATGAGAAGTACATATTAAGCCTAACTTCATCACAGGAATGGCTTCCTCTGCTGGGAACTTCCCTTGGAGTCTCTCATCAATACATTCCTCCACCCTGCCTTCTTCCAAAGCTCCTCTGACCATGTCACAAAGTACCACCACATCATCCTCCATATATTCCACAGGCCTCTTCCCTGTAACAATCTCCAAAACCAAAACTCCAAACCCATAAACATCACATTTCTCAGTAATTTTAACCGTTTTGCAGGCAAACTCTGGGGCCATGTAGCCAAGTGCGCTCTGAATTTTGCTGCTCAAAATATAGCTATCAAGCATTGGTAACAGTCTTGCTAGGCCAAAATCCCCAACTTTAGGTTCACCGTAACTATCAATAAGGACATTGGTTGACTTAATGTTATAGTGAATAATGTTGGAGTGATGCAAGTGAGCCAAGGCCTTTGCTGTCCCCAGAATCACATTAAACCTCTCATTCCATGAGAGGAAGTTTCCGCCTGATCCTTCATGGAGATGCTTATACAGACTACCGCCAGAGACATACTCGTATATGAGGAGCTGCAGTGATGTAGTCCAATAATAACCTTCGAGTTCCACAAGATTTTGGTGTCTGACTTTTCCTAATTTCTTCACTTCTCTTTCGAAATCTTCTTGAGACTTAACAAGACTTGAGACAGTGAGTTTCTTTATAGCAACTGAACGCCCATCTCCAAGAACTGTTTGATATACTGCCCCGAACCCTCCACGCCCAAGCTCACAATCCTTATTAAGCAAAGCATGTGCTCCAGAGCTGAAATCAGGCTCACCTGAAAACATAACAAGCTTGCCAGAGTTGGCATCGGTAGTTGGGGAATGGCTGAATTCATCCCCTGCGGAAAATGCGAGTGCAGCTGCAGATCGAGCTGTGGAGGACCGAACACGGAGATTGAGAACAGTGATGCCAATGACACCAATTACAATGACAGCAGCTGCACCAATGGCGATGAGAGCAGAAATGCTGAGAATGATTCTCTTGTGACCCAAATTTGGAGGCAGGGAATCTGGGCGGCCAGAGTCAGTAGTGTTGGGATTTAGAACAATAGGCTTTGGGAGAACAGTAGGGCATGATTTGTTCACTGCAGAGCCACAAAGCGATGGATTGCCAGAAACAGAGGAAGGCGAAATGGTGTTGAAAAACCCACCAGCAGGCAGTTCACCTTGAAGGTTGTTGTGAGATAAATTGAACAAAAGAAGATTGGGAAGGTTGGCTAATTGCTTGGGAAGGTTTCCACTGAGGTTGTTAAATGATAAGTCCACAGTTTGCAGGTTGGTAAGTTTTGCAACTGCTGCAGGTATCGAACCACTCAGCCTGTTCTGGGACAGAATCCTACAGAATGCACCCAAAAAGAAAGGGAAATAAGAGGAAAATAAAAGCAAAACCAGGGGAGCCATAGCCATAAACTAATAAGAGCAGGTAGGATCTTACTGAATGATTTTTAAAAATTTAATTAAGGACTAAAAAAGCCACATAATAGCGCCTATTAACGAAAAAAGTAGCAATATATGAAACTACAATAACATAAACTTAAAGCCACAAAATAATAACAGATATATATGTTCCAGAAAGAAAACAGATATTTGGTAATTCATGCCACTGTCACCATCCTTTCCCCCCAGATGTATTATGAAAATATTTTATTCAGCCTTATTGTTTTTCTATTTTGTAGGGTATAAGAAAGGTAGCAGTATCACCGAACTTAACAAAGTTATTGCTGCTGAAATAATAATACATCAGCATTCAGTTGTGCATGTTTATTCCAAAATAACAAAACTGCATATCAGACTGAATCAAAGTCGAGACTATCAGTTGTCTTTTATCATATTATGATAAGCAACTCCTCTCAATAAAACATGGAATAAAGGATATCACAAATAAACGTCTCCATCAAGGGTATATCAACAATGAACAAACATGCTGACTTCAGTTTAAATGTATCTAAGTAATTAAGGGTAAGTTAAACACTTTGTAACCAAATGTACTGCATGCATATTAGCTAAATCCGTCTGATGAAACATACATAAAATCAACTATAAGGGGCAACCTGAAATTACCTGATGTAAATATAAGCATTCGTATAAAATGAAAAATAGGGCAGGGAAAAGAAACTTACAAAGTTGTTAACGAAGAGCAGTTCTCAATTGAGCTTGGAATTTTCCCAATTAGGTAGTTATTATCCAATCTAAATTTTTTCAAGGACAAAGCTCCTCCTATTTCCCAAGGTATGCATCCGTTTAGGCTATTATGACTCAAATCAAGACTAGAACATGATTTTAATTCACCAATTGCAGCTGGTACCGGACCTCTTAGAGAGTTCTTCGATAAATTCAAAAATTGCAAGCTAGTTAAACCTGCAATAGCAGAAGTGATTTCACCATAAAATGCATTGTCAGATAAATCCAAAACTTGAAGACTTTGGACTGCAACTTCAGCCAAGGGATACAATGGGCTTTTTTCCAGGCTACCACTCAGCCTGTTTTCAGATACCAAAACCTTCTCCAAATCTGACTTGAAAATCCATGAAGGAAGACCTCCGGACATTGAATTCCTGCTAACATCCAAGGCCAAAAGGCTTGTGCAATATACCATAGACTCTGGCAGATTACCAGTGAAATCATTTGCAGAAAAATTCAACGTCTTCAATGACTGAAGATTTCCTATAGAGTCTGGCACATGACCAGAAAATCTATTGTTTGAGAGGTCCAATATCTCAAGGCCTTTCATCTCTCCAACCCACTCAGGAACATCTCCTGAGAAGGCATTTCCACGCAAACTAAGGTAATTACACAACGTGAGTTCCTTCAAATCCCCAGGGATACTACCAGAAAGAGAATTCTCGCTGAAATCAATAGACCTCAAAAGCAAGCAACTTCCATAACCATCTGGAATCTCCCCAGAAAACCGATTCCTTGCCAAGTTAATGCTCCGCAAATTCTTCATTGCCTCAACCCCTTTCGAAATCTCACCCTCCAACAAGTTATCAGACAAATCCAGGGACCTGAGTCCACTCAAAGCCCAAATCCCAGGAGGAACAGAACCCGAAAACTGGTTAAAAGAGAGGTCAATGGAAGCAATAGCTGAACATGACCCCAAACTAGAAGGAACATTACCAGAAAATTTATTCCTCGCCAAAGAAACAGTCCTGAGAGACCCACATTGTCGGAAAAAATCATCAGGCACCTCCCCTGACAAATTGTTGTCACTCAAATCAATGACCCTAAGGTTATTGATACGAGCAATGTTGGGGCTTATACCCCCCGTGAGGTTGTTGTTCGCCAGAGAAAGCTTGCGCAGAAATTGCAACATTTGAAGGCCTCGACCTATTCTTCCAGAGAGAGAGAACCCATCAAGGTTAACCTCCACCACCCTATTGGATCTAGGGTTACATTTCACGCCGACCCACCTACCACCACAAGCACTCTCATCATCTTCATTCCAAGATGCGAGCTTTCCCTTGGGATCTTGTACGTCAGCTTTGAACACAATCAGCCCTAGAACGTCGTCGTTCAGTGACGGGTTCACGGCGGTCACTGAAACGAGAAGCAGCGAGAACAAGCAGAGAAGAAGAAGAAGAAGAAGAAGAGCTCTCATGTTGGATAACGCTCGCATTTTCGAACACTAGACACCCATGTGAAATTGAGCTCAGAAAAACAAGACAAGAGGATCAAAGGTTCCGAATTTGGACAGAGAAAGCAAAAAAAAAAATCCAACTTCAGATTAAGCTCTAACCAAAACAAAACAAAAAAGTAAGAAGACAAGTTTTTTTTTTTTTGTAACGGTTAGATTTGAAAGTGGGGAAGAAAAGGAAAGGGTCAAGGAGGAGAGTGTGGAACAAAACAGAACAGTGGCATTTGAATATGGTAAGTAACGTACCACAGACCCCAAAGTGTAACCAAAACGAGGAGAACTCTATGAAGGTAAAGTGCATAAACAAACCCTATAAATCTTATAACTCCACAACAAGGTAGTGTCTTCCTTTGAGGAGCTTCAAAGCGAAACAAAACAGAAAAAGTTAAAAGTTAACAACACCACGAGTATTGTAGAAGACTCGATCCAAAAACCATCAAATGCAGTAACTGTGCACCTGTGGTTTGCCGGAAAGGTAACCCAATGGTACTTACCAGAAATGGGAAAAAGCTCAACAGGTTTTCCGGTAAGGGTGACCGGAAATTCCTTGCCGGCACTGAAAAGCAATCTCTCTCTCTCTAATGTCTCTCTCTGGTGTGCTGTATAAAGCGCACTCAGGAAGTGATGTTCAGTTTTTATTAACGGCAAATGAGGTACCGGTTGGTAGCTGAGGAAAATAAATTAGGACATGGCCACGTGGCACAACCCATGGGGTGTTGTGTTCCTACGTGTCAGACACGTCATCGTGCTCAGTTATGTTTTTGGCGTAGATTGGCTTACCTGGCATTCCAATCCCAAGATTGTCCCCCTTCTATCCTTATTAATGAAATTACCTTTGTCTTTTTTTCTCCCTTAATTAAAAGTTATTAAGATGACAACTGGTTATGATTTCAACCTAGAATTAGAAATTGTTGGTGGAAAACAGAGATATTTATTTGTTTTTTTCTTTATCTTTTTCTACTCAGAATTGAATAGTGTTAATTGTATACACGAACTTTAATCTTTCAGTTCTTTAAACAATCGCCTACACGTGATTGCATGAGTCTATTTTAAGCATTTAAATGTAACCATTCATTAGTTTTTTTTTTCTTTAACAAGAAACCATTACTTAAATTGTTTTAGGTTGGGTAATTATTACTTATTAGTTTAGCAATGTGCCTCAAAAGAATTTCTGCTCGTCTCGAATATATAAATTTTAGATTGTATTTAAAATATTAAAAACAACCATATTTGTTCACTAATGGCAGTAGTATATTCTTTCTTTTGAAGATTTTTTTCAATAAAAGGCATTGTTATTTATAAAAAAAAAAAAAATCAAATTTATAGTATTTATCCGAAGTTTTCTCACTTTAACTGTTATCTGCTTTAAAGCTTGAGAGGATGTTGTACCGTTTGTTTTTACCTAATAAAAGAGATGTTCCATTCTATTCATTTAATTTTATTTGCTTTTTGGGCGGGGAATCTTCAATTCTATCTCTTCAATCCTTTTTCAAATGTAACTATTGTAATTAAAACACACAAGTTAATACAATAGTACACGATTATCTCACGGATAGGAACGAATATTGCATGGGAAAAGCCTATGGTATATGTTACTATCTTATTATATTTGGAGTGCCACATAACTGACAAAATTCAATCTTTAGGGTCTTGAACTACAGGCAAAATGCATGTAGTTTTCTTCAAAAATGAAAGACTACCATAAATCAAAGTGGAATATGTAACCAGCTAAACAATCCTGGTTGACTAAAAGAGACATACATAAGGTTGAGTATATTGAACTTTGCTGCTGATTTAAGATATGAGTTAACGGATAACAAATTTTCATGAGAATGCTCCTCTTTAACTAATCGATCAGAGCTAATCTACCCCATAAGGCATATACTGATACATGATACCAAAACTTGTGTTGTGGATGGCATGTGGGTTTAATTTAAAATGAGGAATGGATAGGCTTTTCTCAAGTAATATAGGAAAAGAGAAAGGGCATTTATACTTTTAAGACTTTGGAGTGAAAGTTAGTTGGACGCGCAGTTAAAAAAAAAAAAAAATAAGCAATAAAGGCAAGTAGGTGGCTTGGTGGGTGATGCAATTAAAGAAAAGGGAGAAAGATGTGCAGAAGATGGTGGAGGATGAATGGTGTGGAGAGGTATACAGGAGTGCGCAGAAATCTAAAGGGGACAAATATTTCCATGCTTTATTAAATCTCACTTAGCAAACAAAGAGTCCCTTCTCTTTAATTTCCCCAACATTGCAAAAGTGCTGTTTAATTCTAGCGATAATAATTTTCTACACAACTCACTAACATGACATGAATATGATACAAAAATTTCGTGTTTGAGTATACGTGTTCACAAAATGGTTTTATAGTGTTGGCAAAACTGGAATGAATAATTATTTTTGTATCAAATGTCAATCTGCAAATATAAAATTGACCCGTATTAATATTTGCACATGTCATTTGTGTAATATCGTGTCAACCCCAAAATAAGCAACATACTTTAAGGTTGACGAATTATTCATATCATGTCATATCAATACACAAAATAAAGAATTAACCCATTTTTAAATTTGTATCAGGTTCGTATTTGTGTTCGGAAATTTTGCTGTTAATCGTTGGAACTTTTTATGGTTAACGTATTAAGAAAATTAGATTGTCATTATCAATTTTATTTTCAAGGCGAACTTGATTCAAGGGTGTTATGATTAGTTCATGCACCGTCCGTAAGTTAGCCCCAAAATAATAATGAAGCTTGTCCCAACGAATGACAATTTTTTTGCAAGAGCAATGTCGTTATATCGTCTACAGACACAACGTACAAAATAAGAGGCTTGCTTTGTAGAAAAGAAAATGAAGAGATTCAGATCACTAAGAGGAAAAGGAAACGAAAGTGAATAATAAATATAGTAGTGAAACTTCATCATTACAAAGCAAATAAAGTTAGGTTTCATTCTTTAATGTATACGCACAAATTAAATGAGTAGAAAAAGACCACCTTTCGATTTTCATTAGGTATCATCATGTCATAAATGGGGTAAAAAAATTATCTATAGAAAAGTCTACAATAACCTTATGTTTGTAAATTTTTTGATTAGCTTACACATAAGTAAATATGTATAGGATTAAATCGAGATGAAAATAAAATGCAATCAATCTGATTACTCATTAATTAACCGTTGGGTCAAGACAACTCAAATTAACTTGAACTCCGTCAGTGTGTAAATGTTTATGTCCATGTCTTCTTTAGTTTTTTTTCCTTACTAACGGAACACCCTCACAAATGAAAACTGCCTGTAACATTGTTTAGTCCAAGACTCAAAATACTAAATAACTTCAATTTGGATATTAGGCCGAAGGTATTATATGGTTGCTGTTTCAAGCACTCCAGCGGCAAACGGTAAGGAGTTCGTACTTGTAATGGCACATTAATGTTTAAGTCAGTACTTTGTTTTTAGAAGATAGTGTATGCTAAAGCCTAAAATTATCTTGTTACATGTAGGATTCTTCGCCTTATCTCGGTTTTACTATATATGAGTTGCGTTTTTTAGTTTAGATTCGTGCCATTAATATGTTTATGATCTTTAAAAGTGTAATTATGCCTAATCACACATTGTTAGTCATTATATAACGGACCATACTAGAATACCGAGTCAAGCTAAAAGGTTGAGTCATACCAATTGTGTTTACTTGATCGATCCAATCCACTCGACCAGACCTACTTATCATAAATTTGATTACGAAATATATTTTTCTTAACAAAAAGTACATGCAAAATATAAGAATTGGCCAAATGATTAATAAAATCCTCTCACATGTCATTGCAATCATAACCATGAGACACCTTAATTAAGGCATAACCTGTTATTTGAAGACAGTGGATGATATTATATCACTGCGAGATTTGAATCCATGTATAGAACAAAAGAGATTAATGATTAGAATTACAGTGCAACAGTAAAATTAGAACAGACTTATAGGTGTCAGATAATGAGACAGAGTGATGAATGTATGCAGAATAATGGATTAAATCTGAGCCCACAGAATGTGTCTCCTTAAGACAATTTGCCCCCTCACTGATGCCAAAAGTTGATGGACAAGTGTCTCCTAAGATATAACGGATTTCGTCTGAGGAGTGGTGGCACTACCAGTCAACAACCCGAACGGAACACAACAAATTGCCAAAGGAAGGTACACCGGAAAACAGAAAGAAGCATGCAAATCGGGAGGAAAAAATCCAGCAGAGTTTCAGTGTAAAAATCGAATAATTTTTCTTAGGGAGTCAGGGTCCATTTATAGATACTGATCGGTCACGATGAACCGCCGCCGCCGGTGAACCGCAGTGTCTGATGGCTGCGAACGGGAATGACCGGTGACCGGTTCGGTGAACAGGTACAACTGATGACCAGTTCGGTTCAAAATGCTCAAAAAAACTGGCGGGTAGAAATGTTTGGTTATGGAAAAAATTGGAGGGAAGCAACGGATAGTCACAGGGGTATTTTAGACAAAAAATTAAATAATTATTTAATAAAAAATTATTTTTATTTAACACACACGTACAAACCGAACCGAACCGAGCCGAGTCGGCCGGACGGACAGCAACAGCGGCGCGCGCGCGTGTGTTGTGGACCTAAGCTCACCTAGCTTCTCCCCTTCCACAAAATGTGTAGTGACCCAAGGGCCAATTTAGAAGTGTGAGGTGGGAGCTTATAATGGGTCAATTTGTCCCATTAAGTTCTAGTTTGTGAGAGTTAGGGTCAAATGACCCAGAAAAACAAAGATCCACAAGGCCAAAAGTCTATTGGTAGGGCTAATTCGTGGGTCATTCAAAATTATAATTTCAATTTTATTTTTATTCTTTTATCATGTTCAATATATTTAGAATTATTTTAACAAATAAATATTTAATATTTTCATAAAATATACTGTACAAAATATAAATTTTTCATCATTTAAATTTTTAGAGTAAATACCATTTTTCGTC